CCATTATCCCAATATAACCCCAGGTGAAGAGCCTCAGATCCTCCGGTGCCAAGCTGAAGTTTTACGACCTCGTGGAGGGCGGTGATCGCATTCAGGCGCCAGGGAGGCTGACAAGTTGACCCGATATGAGTACATTACCTGCATGCAAAAAAAGTCTGAAAGCAGTAGAAATCATCATGTGGATTCTAGCTAATGGCAGATGAGAGCAGCAGTCCTCATCGGAATAGCGCCTGAAGGGCACTGCAATAGTCATGACCATCACGTGATGTTGATAGGACAAAGGGCATATGATATATGCTAATCTGATGATGACATAGGGATATTAGGGGACATATAGGCATATTGCCCCAATAATGAAGAATCAACTGGAAAATGAAACGGGAGCTGTGAATGCTGAATCAGCTTCGGGTTCCAACGTTCGCAGCAGGTCATGTGCAGCCCGCAGATGCACGAAGGCTCTGATTTCAAGGAAGCCCATGCAAACATCCACCGCGGAGCGGCTGGCTTCACATTCTTAAGGGGGCCTCATTGCAACAAAGAGGGCTCGACGGTAATTCTATAGAGCTCTGCAGGGATTGTAGAGGTGGGTATTTTCAATCAGTGTCGACGATGGTTGTAGGCCTTTGTAGAGAAACGAATGTGTTGCTTCTTGGGCTGCAGGGCCCCTAGGAATGTCACCACTATGCTTCACACACCTGTGGCTCCAGGAGGCTTACTACATATCTGTCGAGGATGTGGTATGAACGCAGGGGGTACCTTCCACTGAAGAGTTGTCCATTTGAGCTACTTCAGGCAGTGTGGACTTGAAAACTGACATCTATTGCAGAAATCCCCAATTTTACCATATAGTCGTTTCAATTCTTTACCATTATCCCAACACAACCCTCAATTCCACTATATAGCCCTATATACTTTAATAGTTTCGATAGTATTTTCCACTATCCCTATATAACCCCAATAACCCTATATAACCCCTATATAACCCATTATAGTAGTTTCCATTTTCTCTTCCATTATCCCTAGATAACCCCAATATAAGCCTATATAACCCCTATATAACCCAT